AGCAGGGAGCCCGATGTGGGACTCGATCCCGGGACCCTGGGATCATGACCTGAGCCGAAGGCAGACACTTAACGACTGAGCCACCCAGGCGCCCCAAGGTTGTCTACTTTTGAGGAAGGGGGTTATGTCCCTGGAGACTTGAAAGGATCCTTAAAAAACTTTTGCACTTTTTCCCGTTCTGCATTTTAAAATCTTTATTGTTAAGCCCCACTTCCTCTCATATTAATCTGGGTACCACAGTTCCTTCATCAGATATTTATCAAATACTGACTATAACTTGTTAGATGATTATGCCAGGCACATTACAGTTTAAAAAGCATAATTACATAACTAAATGAATTTTTTTCTCTGGCTTCATAAAGATAACTAGTATGTTATTCACAATTTTGGAATACTAAATGCTTATTTGAACTCTTATAAGAAATAGTACATTAAAATTATCTGATAAATTTTCTCACGTTAAAAAAAAAAATCCTTACAGGGTCGTCTCAATGCTTACAGAGTAAATTCCATCCTGTTTAGCATAGCATGTGAAATCCTTCATAATCTGTGAAAAGCTCTTTGCATTTCCTTGCCCCCCCCCCCCCCATTTTGTGCTCTGTCAGTATTGAACTGCTTATAAAACCCTCGAGAAATCTACTTCTTCAGTCTAGGACTATCCTGTTTCTCTTAATTTGGCTTACTTCTTTTCATCGTTTAAAATTCATTTCAGACATCATTGCTTTTTGAAGCTTTTCTTCACTCTTCCCAGATGATCAGTCAGTCCCAGACTATTTTTGTACTTCATATATACTTGAATTTTTTTTTTTCCTTTTTCACGTAGGTTAATTATCTGATTGTTTAGATGCTTTTCTGCCTTGCTAGACCGTGAACTCCTTGGTGGCGGGGGCAGAGTTTTACTCGTCCCTGTCTTCTCAGTACCAGTTACGGTGCATGTTAAACAATAGACACTCTAAATGTTTGATGGAGGAATAAATTAATGAAGGATAATCATTTATAGTCAAATTAACTAAGAATGATAATTTTCTTACAATGCTTAAAATCCAGGACTTTGTAAGAGCTTCAGGGTTAGCTAATCATTCTATTTCTCATATTCTCATATTCATAGAGGCCCAGAGAGATTCACATTGCAAGTTGGCAGAATCAGGATTATTATCATTCAGCCTCATTGTCCATTTTGCTTTTACTTGAATGCATTGATTAATTTTTTAAACATTGTTAGTATAGATATTTCAGCCAATAATAGATTCCTTTACTTCCAAAATCTTTTTTTAAAACTTAGACTCATGGAATTTTGGAGTTTAAAATAATTTGGACATTGCCCAGTAAATTGTGTTAGTCACAGCTTTTAATTGGAAATGACAAAAAGCCAAAGCACACCTGGGTGGCTCAATCCATTGAGCATCCGACTCGATTTCAGCTCAGGTCATGGTCTTGGGGTCAGGGTCGCAAGATTAAGCCTCTCGAGTTGGGCTCTGCACCCTGGGGGGGATCTGCTTGGGGTTCTTTCTGTCCCTCTCTCCCTCTGCCACTCTTCCTGCTTGCATGTGTGCCCTCTCTCTCTAAAATAAATAAATGTTTGAAACAAAATTCATTCTCAGGCTAACATTCTCCATGTTTACATTCAACCAGCTTAGCAGCCCCAAAGGAAAGCACATTTTTTGCCAGTCTCAATGCTAGCTGTCTTTGGCTTGGCTTGATTTGGCTTGGCTTGGCTGGATCTTGCTCATCTTTGAATCAATTTTTAATCAAATCACCAGGACCAAATTACATTCTCACCCTTGGATAGTTTCCCTTGGAGAATTAGAGTCTTCTAAAAGGTGGGGCCTAGATTCCAGGCATGTAAAACAGTGGCCCTTACGTGAAACCCATATTTCTAATTAGCTTGCCTGGTTGAGGCCACTGAGATAATTTATTCAAAATGGAGTCATTGTCCTACATTGATAGGTACTGCACTGGGTGTAAGGGTTGGAAAAAGTATCCCATTATAGTGATCACCATATCCCTGGCATAGAACCCTCATTTGTTGAAGCCTAGTAGTTTTCTCATACTAACTCAGGCCTAGAGCAATAGATGGTATATGAGTATCCAGAAAGGCTACTGATTTTTAGAAAGATATTATTTAAGTACAATATTTAATATTCTTGTTTTTAAACAGTTTTTCTCTGTGAAACTCTGGCATTTATTTGTTGCTTTACTGAAAAGAGCTGTTCACATTTTAGGTTTTTCTTCCTAATAGAGCATGTTTCCAGATCCCCTTTAATTAAAGGGGAAAATCATTAAAAACAAGGGATCATATCAACTCTCAGTACACTATATTAAACTATCTACATTCTATTCAATGTTTCACATTCAGTCATACTTCTAATTAAAATGAATTCCTCATTAGAAAGTCATATATACAAAAATTGTTTTCGTTATTGAAAAGAACTGTTGAATCCATATTTATTTTTGTTTTTATTAACTTGTAATACAGTTTATGTTCTGTTAGGAATCTGATTTTGTGTGTCTTCTAATACACTTTGTATATCCACTTATTCTTGTATAAGTTACTCAAACTGATTAAATCCAGTGAAGTATCTTAGTGGTTCCAAAATGTCTTACAGCACTTTTTCATAGTTATGCTTCTGTGTAAGGAGATGTGAAGTAAAATATTTGCTTTAAATAGTGATTTATATGTATGAACAGGACTAGTGACTCAGTATGATTTTTATGATGAATTCAATTGATAATTAGTTCCCGTAAAATAGACATATCTGTTATAAAGAATATAACCAACAGTATCACCAGTTTTAAAGTAGCTCTGGTTTATACTTTTGTCTCATGGACTTCGTTTTTACCTTAGTACAAAAATTTTGATCTATTCAATTTTTTATTTTAATGAAACACTTTTGTTCGGGATTCCCAAGCAAATCTATTCTTGAGAAATGTTGAAAAATTTTTTTCCAGGGACGCTTGAGTGGCTCAGTTTATTAAGCATCTGCTTTCGGCTTGGGTCATACTCTCAGGGTCCTGGGATCAAGCCCCGTGTCGGGCTCCCTGCTCAGCGGGCAGTCTTCTTTTCCCTCTCAGTCTCCCTCTGTGTGTCTCTCTCAAATAAATAAAATCTTTAAATAAAAAAAAAAAGGAAAAAAAAAAGAAACTTTTCCCCAAACTTTTGATTGGTTTAATTTCTTGCCATATTGTGAACAATCATTATCAAAAATGTTTTTTGTTTTTTTTTAAGATTTTATTTACTTATTTGTCAGAGAGAGCAAGGGAGCAAGAGTGAGCAGCACAAGCAGGGGGAGCGGCAGGCAAAGGGAGAAACAGGCTCCCCAATGCGGGACTCAATCGCAGGATCCTGGGATCATGACCTGAGCCAAAGGCAGACGTTTAACTGACTGAGCCACCCAGGCATCCCAATGATGGTCTTTTAAAAAAGCCTTATAGGGGTGCCTGGGTGGCTCAGTCGTTAAGTGTCTGCCTTCGGCTCAGGTCATGATCCCAGTGTCCTGGGATCGAGCCTCGCATTGGGCTCCCTGCTTGGCAGGAGGCCTGCTTCTCCCTTTCCCACCCACCCTGCTTGTGTTCCTGCTCTCGCTGTCTCTCTCTCTCTCTGTCAAATAAATAAAGTCTTTAAAAAGAAAAAGAAAAAAGGCTTATATTTTGATATAATTTAAGACTTATAAGAAGTTGCAAAAACAATAAAGGGAGTTTCCTATGTACCCTTCACTTA